TAGATGCTCATCAGACGTTCCAGGGGGTGTGTCTACAACCAGATAATCTACATCACCCCAGTCAACATCTCGTAAAAACTGTTTAATCAGACCTGTCATAAATCATGAATAAATATTAAATATGTGTAATAGCACACTTTATTGTTTTACATCTTGACGAACAGTTTGCATTTTTGCCATCATGCCTGACTGTCAAAACTTAGGCCATCATAGGTATGTTGAAGGTTTTACACAATATTTCTTGAATTATTATTAGAAATTATATTAATTTGGATATTTTTGGTAGTTTCAGATGTTGGCTAAAGATGTTGAATGAAAACTGACAAAGCATGTCCAAAATACAACATTTTCAACAAACAAGATGGTTGCCAGTCGGCCATTTTGAATCGAATCGCTCAACCACTGCATGTGCATATGTCCCACATAAAGTACTATAGACACATGCAAAGAATGAACAGAATCGGTCGGTAGGATTCTGAAATATGACTCCGGACGGATGGACGGAGACCGAATTATAAGTCTTTGTTTTCGGACTTCATTCGAACGGGCACTAATAATAAATGCCTTTTTTTGCAAGTCAGCCATTTTGAATCTGATCTGGAAAGAATATTATGTGAATGAAATACGTCTATGCATTACTGAGGTCTGGTTCTGGAATGGCAGAAATGAATTTGTGGCTAAAAAATTGTTTGAACATATTGAATTAGATCATGAAACAAATGTATGTGTATGTAATTAGCCGAGGCATTTCAGAGATACAGGTGTGAACGGTTGGACGCATGGAGGTTAAACTATAAGTCTTAGTTTTTGGACTATGTCTGAACAGGGAATAAAAATCTAACACAGCAACCTTAAGCTAGTTGTGTCAAAAATTATTCCCAACGTAATGATCAAGCAAATGAAGTTATGAATAAAACCTTTAACTTTGATAGAAGAAATCGTGTAGCAGAAAAAAGTACTTATTAGAAAGTGATAAATATTGATAGTCTTAAAATGCCCTCACCATTTTTCTTTGGTCCTCTCCATATAACAGCATCATTAGGACTGCCTAATAAAAATCCAACTGACATGACACCCAGATTATCCTCAACATACTGCAAATACATACAAATAAAACAGAGTTAAACTAGTGTTAGCTTTACTTGTTTGTAAGTGGCCATCAATGATTTAGTGCCTTTCACATACTGTAAATCAGAGATAAAAGCTAATAAAAAAGGTTTCAGACAATAAAAACTACCATTACCTTGATATATTAAATAAAAATGAAAATGTTTTACTGAATCACTAAAAGTTCATCTGATCCTATAAAATACGTATTGCTGTCATACATTAGATTGCAATAGACCAAGTCATCTCCGAGAACCGGTTGTGGACATATCCAAGAATTAAGATTTAAAAATTCTTAACATCAAAATGGCCGCTAGTCAACCAATTTCAGATCACATAACAAAATGCATAATTTTCCATTGATGTATGGATATAATTAGTCAGAGCAGAAAAACAATAGAAACCAGTTGGCCATTTTGAAAAACAAGTTTTCGTCAATGGCATAGTCATAGTCCCCATTTGTATTCTTCTCTTTTTTTTATGAATTTATTTAATGTCCTATCTAATATTACCATATAGAATTGTACATTAGATATACAATGGTCAAAATAAATCATTTTAATGATCCAGCATACAATACATACAGTTTTTGGCTATATGTGCTTTTTTTGAAGATGTGCTTCTAATGGAGAAAATAAAGTATTCACAATATTTCCAATATGTAATAACAAGTCATTAGCATAATTCCTGTCATGAAACAAAACTGAAATAAACAATTAGCCTGTCGACTGATATGTCAAAATGACAAAAATATTCACTAAAATTAGAAAATAAAACTTATTATCAAGAAAAAAAGAAAGGTGTCTACATAGACAAGCTATGCATGGCACAGTCAAATTTAAGATATAAATGAAACATAAACATATCAGAGATGTGAATTTGTTAACATTAAAATGATTGACATCTTGTATCTGATCATTAAATGAGTACCATATTGAGAGATATTGCTCTTGAACAGCATTAATTAAAAAAAATGACCAATGGTCGGTCATTTTGATTACACCTATATATTTATAACATGATGTATAATGAATATATAAAATTTGAACATAATTAGTCAAAGCATGGCAGAGATATTGCACTAGAACTGCATTCATTAAAACAAAATAACCGCCAGTTGGCCATTTTAAATCAGAACTAAAAAATAAAAGGACATGCATCAAGGTCCCATAATGTCCAATGTATGTACCAAGTTTGAACAAAATCCATCCATAAATGCTTGATTTTGTTGATTTTTCAGCACAAAAATTGTCGCCATTCGGCTTTCTTGAATCTGGATGCACACATGGTCACACAGAAGCACAGAAGTCAATTCATAAGTCCTCGTTTTTGAACTGCGACAGGGACTAAAAACCAGAAAATGGTTAGCCATTTTAAAAAAGAACCTGAAAATAGCATTTTTTACCAAAAATTACTAATAATAAAATTAGAAGTGAAGGTATCGCCACATAATGAACAAATCTGACTTAGATATACCCAAGGTGTCTACATATACTATATTGAAGCAATTGGGGTAGCCATTTTCAAGAAGTCAAAAATCGCATTTACCAAAAATTACGAAAAAATATAATTACATATATAATAATTATAATTGAAAAATTTTAAGATATTGTTACAAAATGGATAAATCGGACCATCGTCAACTCAAGGTGTCTACCGGTACATATAAATATCAAACCAACTGGGCAAGCTATTTTCATGTAGAAGTTGAAAATAGCAATTGTTACCAACAATATTCACGAAATGAACAAATCTGAGAAAGGGTCACCCAAGCGAACTTGCTGTTTTCAAGAAGAAGCCGAAAATGTAATGTTGACGACAACAGACAATCAGTAATATGAACAGCTCTGCTTTTTTGATTACATCGACAGTGGAGCTAATGATTGACCATCTTGAATTGAAGAAATATCTTAAGATGTAGTATGCATGTGTAAAGTTGTAATGCAAGTGGTCTAGACATGTCAAAAATATCTTTTAAGCAGAAATATATCCCAACTACATGTACATGTATGTTGCTTTTAAAAGCCTACTTACCACAGGTGACCATCCTGACCCACTTTGATGGACTTGTTCTCCCTCAATACCCATTATTTTTGGTATTGAAGGACCACATATATCAATATCCAACACAGCAACCTGTGAATGCAAAGTTAAACTATCATATTATTATGCGCACACTCCAAGCTAATTCTAAATACATGTGTATCACCAAATAATATATTTCATTGCAATACATCAAAGCTGGAAGCTCAGTAAGATACATTCTCGTGATTATTAAGGTTATACAAAGCCATCACACTTTTACACAGGAATTTCCCGTAATTTAGAAAGTTATTTCAGGACTGGCTATTTAAGGTAGCGAGACTATTATTTGTGTTGAAAATTACGATTTTCACATTTATTTATTAATTGATGAAATGCACTATAAACTTTCATGTGATAAAGTCAACATAACATAGAATGTCATGTAAGTTGGTTAAAATGTAGATTTTCTGAAGGGAAACAAGGCAGCCTCAGTAGTGTTTTCCAAAATCAACAACACAGGTTTAATCTGTGTGCCTATATGTTTCAAAGATAAACTCAAGACAAAGCAATGTTAGGATGTGTTATCAGTAGCTATCTGACACACAATGAGTGTTTCCAAACATTTGAGTGGTCTGTCTCCGCTGTTTTCATATGCCGAATTTATCCAATTATCGCTATTCCATTCCTTTATTTTTTTGGTTTCCAATAGCCTTACACATTTGGATGTCCCTACACATGTTAAAACAGACCTTGATGGGGAAACAAATTGATTGTGCCGATAAACAAGCTTGAAAATCTTTGCTGTTACTTCATGGACGTTTTCTAGGAGTTTATGTTTTTCAAAATACAAGGTCTTTAACAAAAAATAACGTATACTTATTGTCGTCGGATTAACACCAAATTTTCACAGCTTTAAGGTGACAGTGAGAGGAACTTGAATGTGTCCAGACAAACTACTGTAAAATGACTAATTTTCACTGGGTTTAAATTTCACTGATTTACCATTTCAGGCATATTCAGTGGGTTTTAAATTCACGGTTTCGTCATTAAGATAATGTGTTTTATGCTAAATTTTACATATTGACGATGTTTTAATTTAGCGCATTTTT